CACCAGGGCTGATCCCACCAGGGCTGATCCCACCAGGACTCATCCCAGCAGGGCTGATCCAGCTAGGGCTGCTCCCACCAGGACTGCTCCACCAGGGCTGATCCCACCAGGACTGATCCCACCAGGGCAGTTCCAAGCAGGGCTGATCCCACCAGGGCTGATCCCACCAGGGCTGTTCTACCAGGGCTGTTCCCACCAGGGCTGATCCCAACAGGGCTGCTCCAGAAGGGGCTGATCCCACCAGGGCTGCTCCCACCAGGGCTGTTCCCACCAGGGCTGTTTCCACCAGGACTGATCCCACCAGAGCCGCTCCCTCCGGCTCTCCTCGGCCTCGCCGCAGCGTTCCCGGGCGGTTCCAGCGTCCTGTCCCTCCCTGCCCCGAGCACAGCGGGAGAACAGCTCTTTGTCCCGGCCGCCGCCGAGCCGGCAGCGGGGCAGCTCCCGCCGAGGGGTCGAGTAAATGGAGCCACAAGTCAAGGACACAGGGCCGGCTTTGTCCGTGGCGGGCTCGGGAGCGGCTCCCGGAGGGCAGCGGGGGCCGGGACACGGCAGGGCAGGATGCCACCAACCCCCAGCAACCCCCCCGTGACAGTGACAGCGACAGTGACAGCGACAGCGCTGCGGCCCCAGGGCTGAATTCCAGCCTGGCATGATCCCAGCCTGGCACAATCCCAGTTCAGCACAATCCTATCCCAGCACAATCCCAGCCCGGCACAATCCCAGCCTGGCACAGTCCCAGCCTGGTGCTGATCCTGGGGCGTGGCAGGGGGGTGGCAGGGGGGTGACAGGGTGAGGTCCCATCTCCTGCTGCAATTCCCAGCTCAGCGTCACTCCAGGATGGGCTGGGGGACGTGGCCTGGCCCTGGCAATGGGCAAAGGCCTGGAGAGGGCATGGGGAATTTGGGATGGGGTCCATGGGATGGGGTGGGATGGGGTGGGATCCATTGGATGGGATGTGTTGGGATGGGATGGGATCCATGGGGTGGGATGGGGGGGGATGGTCACTCCCGGGTGGGGTCACTCCCGGGTGGGGGTCACTCCCGGGCGGGGTCACTCCCGGGTGGGGTCACTCCCGGGTGGGGGTCACTCCCGGGCGGGGTCACTCCCGGGTGGGGTCACTCCCGGGTGGGGGTCACTCCCGGGCGGGGTCACTCCCGGGTGGGGTCACTCCCGGGTGGGGGTCACTCCCGGGCGGGGTCACTCCCGGGTGGGGTCACTCCCGGGTGGGGGTCACTCCCGGGCGGGGTCACTCCCGGGTGGGGTCACTCCCGGGTGGGGGTCACTCCCGGGCGGGGTCACTCCCGGGTGGGGTCACTCCCGGGTGGGGGTCACTCCCGGGCGGGGTCACTCCCGGGTGGGGTCACTCCCGGGTGGGGGTCACTCCCGGGCGGGGTCACTCCCGGGTGGGGTCACTCCCGGGTGGGGGTCACTCCCGGGCGGGGTCACTCCCGGGTGGGGTCACTCCCAGCTGAAGCCCCCGGGGCCGGCACAGGGCAGATCCCGGCCCTGGCACTGCGGGGGCGGCTCCGTGCGGGGCGTGGGGCACCCGGCTGCCTCAGCCCCCTCCGGGCTGGGTTTGGGGTGGACGGGGGGCAGCTGGAGCGGCTCCCCTGAGTTTGGGGGCCGGCAGCAGGAGCTGGGACACCACTGACAAAGCCACCCCCGGGGCAGGGGACAGCTGTGGCATGTCCTGGACACAAACCAGGCCAAGCCTGGGGACAAGGGGAGGGGGCAGAGATGCCCGTCCTGACCCTGATTTCCCTTCCCCCCTGGCCTGGCAGGACTCCACCCTCGCTGGACAACGCCCGCCCAGTCCCTGGGGGGCTCTGAGAGCCCCGAGCCGGCCACCAGGGAGCCGCCGAGCACCGAGGGGACGGCCAGCACCGTGGGGGACACGGCCACCACCGTCATGGGCAGCTCGCAGCCCGTGGTGACCCACGGCAGCAGCGACAACCTCATCCCCGTCTACTGCTCCATCCTGGCCGCCGTGGTGGTGGGGCTGGTGGCATACATCGCCTTCAAGAGGTACCGGGACAGGGACAGGGCAGGACAGGGACAGGGATGGGACAGGGATGAGACAGGGACAGGGACAGGGATGGGACAGGGACAGGGCAGGACAGGGACAGGGACAGGGATGGGATAGGGACAGGGATGGGACAGGGATGGGACAGGGACAGGGCAGGACAGGGACAGGGACAGCGATGGGACAGGGACAGCGACAGGACAGGGACAGGGACAGGGACAGGGATGGAACAGGACAAGGACAGGACAGGGACAGGGACAGGGATGGGACAAGGACAGGACAGGACAGGGGTTTGGGGAGGAGGGAACAGTGGGACCCCCACTCTGGATGTCCCACAGTCACAGCTGCCACCAGGATGGAAAGATTTCCAAAATGGGGTGAGGAGGGAGGTGGCAGCAGGGTGGGGGACACACTGTACACCTGTCCCTGTCCCACTGTCCCTCTCCCTGTCTTTATCCCTGTCCTGACTCCAGGACAGAAACCAGAAAATGTGACAAATCCCAGGGAAGGGGACAAACCCCAGGAATACAAGGACAGGCGTGGGACAGGGATGGGATGGGACAGGGGTTTGGGGAGGAGAGAACATTGGGACGCCTGCTCCAGATGTCCCACAGGGGCACCAGGCTGGGCAGATTTCCAAAATTGTGTGAGGGGTGAGGAGGGAGGTGGGAGCAGAGTGGGGGACAAACCGCACTGCTGTCCCTGTCCCTGCATGTCACTGTCCCTGTCCCTGTGCTGGCACCAGGACAAACCCCAGGGAATTTGACAAACCCAGGAATGGGGACAAACCCCAGGGAATGGGACAAACCCCAGGAATGGGGACAAACCCCTGCCAGCCCCGGGGACGTCACCTGCGTGTCGCTGTCCCCGCAGGTGGAACAGCTGCAAGCAGAACAAGCAAGGGGCCAACAACCGCCCCGTGAACCAGACGCCGTCCCCCGAGGGGGAGAAGCTGCACAGTGACAGTGGCATCTCCGTGGACAGCCAGAGCCTGCACGAGCAGCAGCCCCCGGGGCAGGGCAGCCAGGGCACAGGTGGGACACCCAGGGGACAGGTGGGACACCCAGGGGACAGGTGGGACTGCTGGGACACCCAGGGGACAGGTGGGACTGCTGGGACACCCAGGGGTGAGCAGGGACACCCAGGGGCCAGGTGGGACACCCCGGGGACAGGTGGGACTGCTGGGACACCCTGGGGTGGGCAGGGACATCCGGATAAGGACAGTGCCACCCCGGTGAGGACAGTGACACCCCGGTGAGGACAGTGACACCCTGGTGAGGACAGGGACACCCAGGGAAGGACAGTGCCACCCTGGTGAGGACAGTGACACCCCTGTGAGGACAGTGCCACCCCGATAAGGACAGTGCCACCCCTGTGACGACAGGGATACCCGAGGGTGAACAGGGACACCCAGGGAAGGACAGTGACACCCTGGTGAGGACAGGGACACCCAGGGGCCAGGTGGGACACCCAGGGGACAGGTGGGACTGCTGAGACACCCCAGGGTGGGCAGGGACACCCGGATAAGGACAGGGACACCGAAGGATGGACAGGGACACCCTGGTGAGGAGAGGGACATCCAGAGGTAGACAGGGACACCCGGTGAGGACAGGGACACCCCGGTGAGGACAGTGACACCCCAGTAAGGACAGTGACACCCAGGGAAGGACAGGGACACCCCTGTGAGGACAGGGACACCCGAGGGTGAACAGGGACACCCTGGTAAGGACAGGGACACCCCGATAAGGACAGTGACACCCCAGTGAGGACAGGGACAACCCAGTGAGGACAGTGACACCCTGGTGAGGACAGGGACACCCAGGGAAGGACAGTGACACCCCGGTGAGGAACAAGGACAGTGCCACCCCTGTAAGGACAGTGCCACCCTGCGAGGACAGGGACACCTCAGTAAGGACAGTGCCACCCTGGTGAGGACAGGGACACCCCTGTGAAGACAGTGACACCCCGGTGAGGACAGTGCCACCCCGATAAGGACAGTGCCACCCCGACAAGGACAGTGCCACCCCTGTAAGGACAGTGCCACCCTGCGAGGACAGGGACACCTCAGTAAGGACAGTGACACCCTGGTGAGGACAGTGCCACCCCTGTGAGGATAGTGCCACCCTGATAAGGACAGTGCCACCCCGGTGAGGACAGGGACACCCCAGTAAGGACAGTGACACCCCTGTGAGGACAGGGACACCCTGGTGGGGACAGGGACACCCCAGTAAGGACAGTGCCCCCCTGGTGAGGACAGTGACCCCCCGATAAGGACAGTGCCACCCCTGCGAGGACAGTGCCACCCCGATAAGGACAGTGACACCCTGCGAGGACAGGGCGGACCCCCACACCCCGGGCAGGCTCTCAGCCCTTCCCCTCTCGGGCAGCAGCAGCAGCAGCAGCAGCTCCCAAGGCCGACGGGATCCCGTACTCGGCGCTGCCGGCCGGCAAGCAGGAGGAGGTGGAGAAGCTTCTGGGCAGCTCGGCCGAGGACACGTGGCGGCAGCTGGCGGCCGAGCTGGGCTACAAGGACGAGCTGATCGAGGCCTTCACCCGCGACGAGGCGCCGGCGCGGGCGCTGCTGGCGCACTGGGCCGGCCGCGAGTCGGCCACGCTGGACGCGCTGCTGGCCGCCCTGCGCCGCCTCCAGCGCGGCGACATCGCCGACAGCCTGGCCAGCGAGTCCACCGCCACCTCCCCCGTCTGAAGGGCGGCCCGGGGGGGCTCGGGGCTGGGGGGGTGGCAGAGGGCTCGCTGTGTGTCCCCCCGGAGGTGTTGGCGGTTCCGGTACCGGCCGCTCCCCGAGCAGGTCCGGCCCGGTAGCCCGTGATGGGGTTGGGGGGGGTTTGGTGTTGCCCCCCAAGTGGTAAATTCAGCCCTGGGGGGTTGCGGGATGGATGGACGGATGGACAGATGGACACGGAGTGACCGCCGTGCTCTCAGCCCTCTCCTCTCCCCCCTTCAGCCCCTTCTCTTCCTCCGGTCCCTCCCGTTCCCCTCAGCGCCCCCAAACCCGGCCGTGCTCCCCCCCGAGAGGGGGAAGGGGGGGCTGGGGCCGCTGCCCCGGGGTTTGGGGGCTCGGGGGGGCCGGGGGGAGGGGACCCGGCCCCCACACTGTGAAATTTGGGGTGCGGCCTCCCCGCAGCTCCGCAGGGATTTGGGGGAGCAGCCGGGACCACCCCGGACACTGAGGAGCAGATTTTGGGGTGCCGCCACCCCCCCGTGGGGGCTGCAGGGGACACCGAGGGGACACCGAGGGGACGCTGAAGGCGGAAAGCGCTGCCCAAGTGCCTGCCCCCGCGGGGACACCCCCAGGGCTCCTCTCCTGCCCTGTCCCCGCTGTCCCCGAGCCGCAGGGACCGGCCGAGGCCACCCTGCCACCATTGCACTGTCCCCGCTGTCCCCACCCTGCGTCAAAGGGCTCCTGCCGTGCCAGCACTGTGAGAGCAGCTCGGGAATGTCCCCAAGGGTCCCTCTGCCCCCTGGGTGACCCCAGCACCTCCCTGGGGAGGTGACATCGCTCAAAGGGCGTTTTGGGGGCGTTTTGGGGGCGTTTTGGCCCCAGCTGGGCGAGCTGGAGCTGCCACCTGGCTGGGGATGTCCCCTGAACTGCCACCAGGCTGGGGATGTCCCCTGAGCTGCCACCAGCCTGGGGAGTGTCCCCTGAGCTGCCACCAGCCTGGGGATGTCCCCTGAGCTGCCACTGGGCTGGGGATGTCCCCTGAGCTGCCACCAGCCTGGGGAGTGTCCCCTGAGCTGCCACCAGCCTTGGGAGTGTCCCCTGAGCTGCCACCAGCCTGGGGATGTCCCCTGAGCTGCCACCGGGCTGGGGATGTCCCCTGAGATGCCACCAGGCTGGGGAGTGTCCCCTGAGCTGCCACCAGCCTTGGGAGTGTCCCCTGAGCTGCCCCCAGCCTGGGGATGTCCCCTGAGCTGCCACGGGGCGGGGGATGTCCCCTGAGATGCCACCAGGCTGGGGAGTGTCCCCTGAGCTGCCACCAGCCTTGGGAGTGTCCCCTGAGCTGCCACCAGCCTGGGAGTGTCCCCTGAGCTGCCACCGGGCTGGGGATGTCCCCTGAGATGCCACCAGGCTGGGGAGTGTCCCCTGAGCTGCCACCAGCCTTGGGAGTGTCCCCTGAGCTGCCACCGGGCTGGGGAGTGTCCCCAACACTTTGCCCAAGTGGATGAGGCTGCAGGTGTGCCAGGCACAGCCCTGCCCAGGTGTGGGCACAGCCCCAGATGTGGGCACAGCCCCAGCCAGATGTGGGCACAGCCCCAGCCAGATGTGGGCACAGCCCCAGATGTGGGCACAGCCCCAGATGTGGGCACAGCCCTGCCCAGTTGTGGGCACAGCCCAGGTGTGGGCACAGCCCCGGCCAGGTGTGGGCACAGCCCAGGTGTGGGCACAGCCCCAGATGTGGGCACAGCCCCTGCCCAGCTGTGGCCTCTCCACCCCTCTGGATTCATCCCAAAATTCCCCCCGAAGGCAGCACGGGGTTTTCCAGCCCTCCCGGAGGAGAGATCTGTACATAGGAATTGTGCCGTGTGACCCAGTGCTCGGCGTGACCCTGGGGACAGCCCTGTCCCCTCTCCTCTTCCAGCTGGGAATTCCCACCCCAGCCCTTTGTTCCCCCCTCGTTTCTGGCCTTAAAGACCCCACGGGAGGCAGAGGAACGGGGAGGAGCGTTCATCCCAAAATCCCGCAGCAGGATCGGGATGTTCCCGGCAGAGCTCGGAGTCTTCCGGCATCACATCCCCCAAAATCTTCTGGGAATTTCCCTCCCTGCTCTGGATGATGAAGCTCGGGCTGGGATTTGGGGGATTCCCACCAAGATCCCTTGGGAAGAGCCAGCTCTGGCTGGAATTGCTGAAAATCCCAAACTCCTCCCGCCACCCAAATCCAAGGAAATTTGCCCCAAATTTCCGACCCCACTCGCGGTGGGATGGAAACCCCCAGGTCCTGCCAGGCCCAGCCACACGAGGGGATGGATTTGGGGTGAATTTGGGATGGGTTTGGCATGAATTTGGGGTGAATTTCAGATGGATTTGGGGGATGGATTTGGGATTAATTTAGGGTGGATTTGGCATGAATTTGGCATGGATTTCAGATGAATTTTGGATTAATTTGGAATGGATTTGGGATATATATTGGGATGAATTGAGGAATTGATGAAAATCCCAAATCCGAGCCCCAAACTCCTCCCGCCACCCAAATCCAAGGAAATTTGCCCCAAATTTCCGACCCCACTCGCGGTGGGATGGAAACCCCCAGGTCCTGCCAGGCCCAGCCACACGAGGGGATGGATTTGGGGTGAATTTGGGATGGGTTTGGCATGAATTTGGGGTGAATTTCAGATGGATTTGGGGGATGGATTTGGGATTAATTTAGGGTGGAGTTGGCATGAATTTGGCATGGATTTCAGATGAATTTTGGATTAATTTGGAATGGATTTGGGATATATATTGGGATGAATTGAGGATGGATTTGGCATGAATTCGGAATTAATTTGGAATGGATTTGGGGTGGATTTGGGATGAATAATGGGATGAATTGAGGATGGATTTGGCATGAATTCGGAATTGATTTGGAATGGATTTGGGGTGCATTCTGGATGGATTTAGGATGAATTTTGGATGACTTTGGGATGGATTCCATCACTGGCCTCCTTCGGGTAGTTCCCATTGTTCTGGGTTTTTTTGGAAAAGCCACTCCAGGACAAGCTGGGGGTGCCTGGCACGGGGTGCCCGGATCCAAAGGGAATTCCCTGGAAGAGCCAGCCCAGCCCAGCCTGTCCCACCAGGAATTCTGTTCCTCAGGACAACCCTGCCTCGCCCTCAGGTTTTCATTGCCACGGGATGGGATTTCAGCACCCCCAATCCCAAAAAATTGAATTTTCATGGCCGAGGGAACGGGGACAAACTCAACATCCAAAGAGGAGCCGGGGGCTGCCTCAACCCCCCCGGCTGCGGGACAGAAATGGAAATAAAACCCCAAAAACCCCCCAAAAAAACCCCCCCAAAAGCCAGGAGGGAAAGCCAAGCCAAAGTCAGAGCTCGTTTCGTGTCGTACCAAGCCCGTGTGTTCCCCCACTCCCCACTCCGTAATTCCAGGGCCGATTTCGTAGGAAGTAGAAGGATTTTGGGGGGGTCTGGGGGGGTTTGGGGGCAGCATGAGCCGGGGGGGATGCACGGGGGAGGCCCGGGGGGGTGGAATTTGTCCGTGTGTATCCTTGGGATGCCAATAAAGAGCATCGTTGTCGTCGTGCCGCTCGCTTCTTCCCGCTCTGGCCAAAAAAAAAAAAAGGGAATCCAGGATGGGAAAAAGCCCTCAACGCCTTCCCGATGGGATTTTCCTCCTTTCCCGTTCTGATCCCAAATCCCTGAATTGCCAGAGCAGGAAAAGCAGGAAACGAGGTGGGCTTCGTGTGTGGGATCAGGGACAGCAGCTGGATTTATGGGGAGAGAGGGAAAAAAGGGAAAATTCGGAATAAATCTGGAAAGGAGCCTGGTGCTCGCATGGGCTGGGGGAAATCCCTGGAAAAGCTCCTTCCCCTTTTTTATGGGAGTCTGGGGAGCTGCTCCTTCCCACATCTGCTGCCAGATCCCCCCCGGATCCACCGGGAAAAATCCCAAACCCGTCCCCAGCCCCGGGCCTGGGAAAAGGCAGCAATGGCTGGGAAAAAAAATGGAAAAATTCCAAATAAAACTGCATGGAGGCGCTTTTCACTCACCCCCCGCGGGGAGCCAGGAGCTTCCCTTGGAGCGGGGAGGGAAAAGCGGGAAGGGAAAACAGGGAAGGGAAAATCGGGAAGGGAAAAGCAGGAAAGGAAAATTGGGAAGGGAAAAGCAGGAGGGGAAAATTGGGAAGGAAAACGGGGAAGGGAAAATGGGGAAGGGAAAAGCAGGAAAGAAATCTGGGAAGGGAAAACAGGGAAAGGAAAAGCGGGAAGGGAAAAGCAGGAAAGGAAATCTAGGAAGGGAACGCAGGGAAGGGAAAACTGGGAAGGGAAAATCGGGAATGGAAAACGGGGAAGGGAAAATCGGGAAGGGAAAACAGGGAAGGGAAAACCGGGAAGGGAAAATCGGGAAGGGAACTTTGGACTCCGGGGCGCAGCGGCTCCCGGCCCCGCTGGACCATCCCAAATCTCCCCGGAATTTCCTCCCCGTTCCCCCCGGCGCTGCCCCAACCCCTCCCACGTTTTCCCGCAGGTTTCTCCCAGATTTCATCCCGGGTTTTGGGGCGCAGCGCCCGCAGGGAGAGGGGCTTTGGGGCGGGATCAGCCCCCCCGATCCCAGTCTGGCTCCCAGATGGAGCCGCATTCCCGGATAATGGGAAGCAGTCGGAGCCAAGGGCTCTGCTCCATCCCCCGGGCCCAGCTGGAGCCCAGGATTTTCCAAAATATCCCTCGGGAGGCGCATCCCGGGCACGCGGGACCCCCTTAACCCTTCCAGCCCCCCGGCAGAGCCGGGAGTGCCCCCCTGGGAGGGGATTTGATCCCAATTTCCTCCTCTGAGCATTTAATTCCCCCCCCGGCGCGGGGGTCGCGGCCCCGGCACCGCCCCCCGCTCCCCCTTCCCGATCCCGGCCCTTCCCAGGCCGGGCTGGGGGTCCTGGGGGTCCCCTGGGGGAGAGACCCCGCCCCAGCCCCGCGCGGGTTCCCTGGGATCCCCCCGGGATGGGGGAAACACAAAGGGCTCCAACCCCCTCCTGGGAATGGGGATCCTCGGGGATTTGGGATCTGGAGGGATTTGGGATCAGGATGGATTTGGGATCCTCAGGGATTTGGGATCCTGAAGGATTTGGGATCAGGATGGATTTGGGTTCCTAGGAGATTTGGGATCCTGAAGGATTTGGGATCAGGATGGATTTGGGATCCTCAGGGATTTGGGATCAGGAGGGATTTGGGATCCTCAGGGATTTGGGATCCTCAGGGATTTGGGATCCTGAAGGATTTGGGATCAGGATGGATTTGGGATCCTCAGGGATTTGGGATCTTCGGGAATTTGTCCTGCTTTGCTTCCCCCGGGCGCCCTTTGTGGTGTGAGGGTGAAACTCCAGGGAATTCCTTTGGAATGCTCCCCCAGGCATTCCAAACCCCAATCCCGGTTTAGGAACCCTGGCACAGCCAGGCTGCATCCCAAAAAAAACCCGATAAATCCAGGGGGGTTCCTCTGGGCGGGGACGGACCCGGAGCCACCTGGAAAAGGAGGATTTTCCCAGGAAAAATTCCCTGCTCCAGCTCCCCCCACACCTCCCACGCTCGGGGAAGCTCCGGCTGCACCTGGCAGGGCCGGGGTGGAGGGGGGATGTGGGAATTCAGGGGGGATTTGGGAATTCTGGGGGATGTGGGAATTCGGGGGGGATGTGGGAATTCAGGGGAATGTGGGAGTTCCAGGGGATGTGGGAATTTGGGGAGAGAGAAGGAATTTGGGGGGATGTGGGAATTTTGGAGGATGTGGGAATTCTGGAGGGATGTGGGAATTCGGGGGGATGTGGGAATTCGGGGGGATGCAGGGCCAGGACCGGGGTCCGTTATCCTTTGGGAAGGGGCTGGACCCCCCGCAATTCCCTGGAATGGGATCCCGGGGATCTGCAGATGGGTGGTGGGA